ATACTACATGTACAAGTTACGTACTGAGTTTTTTTCGTGCCATAATTCGAGGGAGAGAAAAAAAACAGGATCTATAACTTACAGTATGGACCGAGAAGACGAGGTTAGTTTGATGTTTAGCACATTCCAACTGTGTGTTTGACGGATTCGGGAAACCATTTCAAGTCACGCGGAACAGCTTCAAATGACTGACGTAGGTAAAAAGAAAAAAGGACTGGTTCGAAATTGTTGCTACAGTTGTAAGTTGTTAGCACGCTTTATGCGCGTCGTCTAAATTTTAAGAAAATGAGACGTTTCACACGTTTATTTGCCATGACCGTTACGAAAACTTGGCGATACATCACGAGGGATTTTGGCGGGCTGTACAGTGGAATACGTCTCTATAAAATGACCAATCGCAGCGCGCGTAGTAACTGAGAGATATGATGAAGTGATTTCTCTCCCTGTTGTACAAATGATAAGTATTCCTTCTCTTCTAGGCATCTCAGTGTACTCAANTCTCATTCCACAGCCAACCAAGAGTTAAATTTGTCTGGACCGCTGAGAGTGTGCGTGTGTTGGCTTTTTTGATTGGTTGCCAAAGATGGAAAGCCAACAAAAGTTTGTCAATCAGAGTTGTCAAAAGTGATCTATTGACATGAAAGGCTCCGACCACACTAATGCGTTTTTAAGTATCCGTTTTCGTTTCAACGAAACCGAAGCAAAATATTTTCGGCCACACTGGCGTTTTCGTTTTGTTTTCATCTGTCCACTAATCCGTTTTCGTATGAAAACGAATACTTTTTGACAAGTTTTCGCCTGTCGTCCACACTAAACGACCTAAAACGCTGATGGAAGCGATAGAAAATGACATTTTTTTCGGCGCCGTTTTCAAAAGCCTCCGTTTTCACCTGGCCTCACTAAAAACGGAGCGTTTTCAAAACGATGCGTTTTCAAAAGGCTCTACTTTTGAAACTGTTTACGAAAGCCTCCGTTTTTACCTATCCTCACTAAAAACGGAGCGTTTTCAGAACGATCCAATTTCAAAAGGCTCTACTTTTGAAACCGTTTACGAAAGCCTCCGTTTTTACCCATCCTCACTAAAAACGGAGCGTTTTCAAAACGATCCAATTTCAAAAGGCTCTACTTTTGGAATCGTTTTCATCAACGTTTTCGGTCGTTTTAGTACGGACAATAGGCGACAACGCGTTAAAAGTATTCGTTTTCGTACGAAACCGATCAGTGTAGTCGTAGCTTGCGAACGCATGCAGACGTACTTCCGGCGCACAGCCGGAAACACGTCAGCGTTCGCAGGCTTGTGTAGTCAGGGCCTAAGATACGATTCGCTGTAAGACTTTGCTGTTAATTTTTGTAAAAAGAAACCTTTTTGTGTGACT